TGTATCCAATTTTATATGATGGCAATTTTCGTTCTTTAGGGTGGCATGATTTATTATTTATTGTTATGTCTGTCGTTGTGGGTTTTCTGTATATTTCCATTTCTATTCATCCGTGTCTATTAAATATTTAAGTCCAGGTAAGCTAAATTTTTCAACACTTTAAAAGTTTTAATACCAGGAAGGCTGATGTGATTGTGAAAAGTTGAATATTGTGTACAGTGTGTATTCTAGACATTATGTGTGTATGTAATTTAGCAATCAGAACACCTGTTGTGATAATGGTTTCCAAGTAAGTATTGATGTTCCCGCTGAAGATGATCCATAAGTGTGTGTGTGCCTCTCTCTCTCAAGTCTCATTTCTGAGACTGTAAAATATGGTCGCGAGTCCCAAGGGACTCGGACCCGAGAAAGACTGCGCTAGCAAGAGCCAGCAGCATATACAAAAGACAGACCCGTCCTCTCGTCAGAGAAGGCGCCCCACAGAAACAAGACCGAAACTGTCAAACGATAATAACTAATATCTGGTCATGATCCCCAAAAGGGGCCTCGACACCAAGACTCACTGACTGACTGACCGTCAGTTGCGACGTGACTCTGACTCTGACTAACTGGAATAATTTATGTAATCGAAATTGGACTTCATTCATGCCCAGAGCATTATCAGTTGTGAGGTGTCCTCTCGTGGGTCAGGATGAATCTTGGCTAGTCTGTTCATGGCAAGCCGGTGTGAATTATGGGAGTTTGAACGGGCCATGAACCCAATCGAGCATTTATGGAACGTGGTGGAGAGGTCAATTCGCACCCAAAATCCTGCACCGACAAATACCAGGGAGCTGTGAGCGGCTATCCAAACGGCATGGCTCAACATCTCTCCAGAGGTCTTCCGTCCACTTGTAGAATCGATGCCACGTCGAGTTGCTGCACTTCGCCGGGCTAGTGGGAGTCCTACAGGAAACTAGGTACCAATCCCATGACTTTTGGCACTTCAGTGTACAATACCTCACTTTTTTGTGTGCATTTAATTGTGCTCCCCTGTCATTGTATGCTTACAGATATGATTACAAAAAATATCAATAAAAATTTAAACATAAGAACTTTAGATCTCAAGATATTAAAAATGATAAAAATATTGTATTTTTATCTTTAAATAGTTGTTTTAAGCAAATATATACACATTAAATTTTATAAACGAGGTTACTTACTGTTTACTTACTTACTTACTCACTCATGGAGTTGAGCCCTTCTGGAGGAGCCGCCAATTCTGCAGCTACTCAAGGATTTCCCAGCATTTTAGGGAACCCAAAAGTTTATCATCATGTTCACAAGAGCCCTCCACTGGTCCATATCCTGAGCCAGATCTATCCAATCCATACCAACCCATCCTGTCTCTCCAAGATTCATTTAATTTGTCCACCAACCTACGCCTTGGTCTTCCCTGTGGTCTCTTTGCTTCTGCTTTTTCCCATCAATATCCTATACGTATTCCTTATATCCACCATACCTGCTACATGACCTATCCACCTCATCCTCTTTAACTTGATCATTCTAATTATAACAGGAGAAGAGTGCAAGTTATGAAGCTCCTCATTGTGCAGTTTTCTCCAACCTCCTGTCACTTCATTTCTCTTCGGTCCAAATATTCTCCTCAACACCCTCTTCTCAGACACCCTAAATCTATTCCTCCCTTAATGTCAGAGACCAAGTTTCACACCCATACAGAACCACAGGCAAAATTACAGTTTTGTATATTCTAATTCTAATCATCGGCATAGACCAACATGATGTGTCCCGTTTAATTTGAGATTACATACTATTAACAAACAAAAACAGCCAACAATTTTATCTGTCAATAAATCAATCTCTAAATAACTAAAAATATAAAGTTCCTAGGAATATATTTAGACAGTACTCTCTTTTGAAAAAGAAAATAATGAGAAATTTTACTTAAATTCATTGCAACTTGTTATGAACTGGGATCAATTCAGCCATTCATGTTACAGGAAGCATTGATGTTGGTTTTCTAAGCATATTTTCATTCCATAATTGATATGGATTTATATTATTTGGAAATCCTACACATAGTGTAAAAATTAAAGTAAAAGTATATTAATAGGAGTTATTACAGGACGCAGAAGTAGATTCATGCAGTTATTTATTTAATAAATTAATATTACTCCTCTTCAATCTCAATGTACTATATATTATCACTTCGCTTGTATTAGTAAATACAACAAAGATAAATTCAAACTAAATATTACTCGTACCTGCCTTCATGAAATTTATCACTATATCAAGAAGTAATAGACTTTAATGGCATAAAAGTGCTTAATAATCTGCCACAGAATACGCAAAACTTGAACAGCGATCCTGAAGGGTAAAAAGTTAGTACAAAAGAATTACCTACTTCTTCGTTCCTTCTAACATGTAAATGAAATCTTCAGTATAAATAAAGAATGACATAAAATTATGTTACATAAACTTTCAAGCTAAAATTTTCTGTTGTAGTGCATGATACATGTAACATGATTTGTTCTGCTTAGGATTTAGAGAACGTAAATTAATTCAATTTCATTTTGAACTGGTTCCACATTCGGGTCAGTATTTAATATTCTATTATTATTTTTACACTTTGGAATGATACGGAACAAATATGGATAGAAGGAAAATTTGGTAATATT